CTTATCGAATAAACGATACGAATGGACCATAGACCATCACTGACGCGCGATTGACCAAATGCCCCTGGATGTCGGCTTCTTACAGAAACACAGCTTTCCTATCATCAAATGTCACGACACGCCCCTGCATGACGGGTATTAAAGATAATTATATCACTAAACAAATTAGATTGGATTTATTGTTCGTAAATTAATTGGTAATGTTATAATAAGTTAAATAATGGATTATGCCATTACATCATTACGTTAATTAGTAGACATAACCTACTTTTAATTTTAAGACAGTGCTTTATATTACAACGGTATTATTATTATATAACAACATTATTATACAACAACGGTATATAACAACGGTATTATATAACAGTTAGTTTTCTAGTTAAATATCTTCTTTTTAAAACTTCTGGTAACACGTAATCGATCCAGCGAAGTAAATACAGTAGATCCCCCTATAAGACGGTAGATACGTTCCGTTCTTTATGAATCAATTTTGTAGGAATCATAGTTTACGGACTACGGCTGTTTGAAAGGTTTTCTTTCATAAAATTAATCGATTCTAGACTAATTCGACTCAACATTTCCAAAATACGTATATTTTTTTGAAAATAATCCGTATAAACTACGTTATAAACAAAAAATTGTAGGATTGCTTACCGAGTGTGTACCGTTCGACTACGCCCGTTGCTAAAGCTTGGTTTCGTCGCGGAACAGCGCATCAAACCGCGGCCGCGATTTCTGATATTATTTTTCTGCGAAAACTTCGTTGACCTTTGGAGACATCCTTAATATAAATAATTTTTATGGCCGTTAAATAAGAAATGTTTCTTTCACAAGAAATGTATAAAATTACAGTACTGGACAGACGATAGGTCGCCTAACTCGCCGTAGCGTGACGCTAGACGGCGAAAAATATATATTTAATTATAATAAAGTTACAATAAATTAAGTTAATATATAATTATATATACAGTACCTAATTTATATATAATTAATATATAATTATATGTACAGTACCTAATTTATATATAATTATATGAACAGACGATACTAAACTCAATTTATCCGCCTAAACGTCCGTAGCGTGGCGCTACGGACGGCGGGAAAGTAGTTCGGCTGCCCGATGACGTTTTACGTATTATAAGAGTTATTTTTACCGTTGTTTACGGATACTGCCACAATTTTTATAGGAATCATAACTATAGGAAACGGTTTTATAGGGGGATCTACTGTACTGCCACAATTTTTATAGGAATCATAACTATAGGAAACGGTTTTATAGGGGGATCTACTGTATGTTAATTTAAAATCTATTATAACCATTCGAGAATACCCTTAAATGTGTTAGTATGTCTATCCTCATAATATGTTGTTACTGTTTATCTCTATTAAAGCCAAGTGTAATTGAAAACAATATATCAAAACATACAGATAACTTTTAGAGTTCAAATCACTAAGTTTAGTGAAATAAGGTATAAAAACTTCAAAAATAGGACACAAGTATTAACCGAAAGCATTTCAAAAATTAAAATCGACTTTCGATAAAACTAGACAGATGTTACCTTACTAACTGAGAAAAATAAATTGTATTATTTCTTCTGCCTCGCAGGACAAAGGAAGTAATGAAAATAAGTTGAAATAGAGAGAGTATATTTTAAATTTAATAAATTAGTAATGTGTTAAAAATAGCAGCCATGCATTGTGACCATATCACAATAAATAATTGCTCGTTATATTTTGGTTTGGGCAGTGGATTGTTAAGTTTTTATTTGTCCGGCTGTTGTATATAACAGGGTAAACGTATGCGACCTGTCAAAAAATATCCTTCAAGATTTTCACATTTTTTACTCGACACTCTGACGCGTAAAAATTACAAAACAGTAACGTTAAAATTACAGTAACAGTAACAGTAAAATTACAAGTACAAGCTTACTAAAAAAAATCTAGTCGTTTTAAGAATTTATGGAAAAATGTCGTGTCTATAGGGTCAACTCCGATATATAAAACCTCTTTGTCATAACGATTATCGGTATATTTTTTAAAAAATGTTTTCGGAAAATCCTTAAAATTTAATCTCGTAAAATTAGCTTCATCGATTATAATTTATTTCTAGGCAGCACGTTCTCTTACCATTCTGTGGCGTGATTTGTTTTAACATTTCTCAACGTCACACCACGCTCTGTTCGATATTCACCAATCAAACACTATCTGCCGAGAGACTTCTACATTTACATCAAAAGCACACAACTAGAGAGCAACGAATCGATAAGTCTTTCCAGATTTTTTAATACGTTTCAAATATTTAACTTTAATAGTATATTATTCAACCCGTTCTGTCGTATGTTTTATCTGAAGAAACAATTAAATATCTGTTTAATAACCCACCGAAGAACGAAGTAGGCCTGAAATTTTACTACTCCGAAATGCAGTCGTCGTATAGAAATTGCGTGGCCAGAACACTTCTGCCTTCGATCTCTGTAATGGAACTTTTCGCTTTGGATACGATGGAAGCTTGCGATTGTAGAAAGAAAAAATCAAGAAAAATGCAGAAGCTTTTCACACTTTATTCTAATTTACTGGAAAAATTTTTATGGGGTATGGTTTTATTGTTTACTGCAATGATAGCAACACCAAAAAGTTACTGTATTCAAGTATTTATGTTATTTGAAAATAATAAGACTTATCTTATATTCATATTATGGTGTTGTTCTTTGTACGGAAGTTTACAATTTAGCATTCTGAAAAGAAATAAGATTAATATTCATTATTTGATGAGAGATTTCAAGAAAGAAGAAGAATTTGTTCAAAAATATGAACCGTATCTTTTTCGTTGTTTCTATTTGTATGTTCTCATTCTTCTGTGTTCTTTCACGTTGATCTTATACATTGGGTATGCTGCTTTTCAGTCATTACATTACGATTCTAGAATAACTTTGTTATGCCTTTTCGGCATCGAACTTTGGTATTGTTACGTTACGTCACACGCACTTTGTATAATTCTCTTTGTACTAATTCTTTGCTTACTTCTAGGAAAAAAATTGATAAACATTTCTGTTCATTTGCAAATTTCTCAAATCTCGTCACGATCTCTTGTTGATGAACTGATGCAGAAACTTTGGAAAATTTGGGAGTGTTTCGAAGAAGTTAACGAGAAATACAAAGCGCTCTTTCCTGTTTATTATTTGTTTTATATCCATCAAACTTGTTTCTGTATATACACTGCTCTGTTTGTGCGGACTGATGTAATATTTCGCTTGATTATAGCGATATTCGGAGTAATATTTCTGGTTGCATCATTAGCGGTGTCGTGGACATTGTCATATTTTACTTCAATTGTAAGTATTGTTCTAATTCATACATAGACTAAAATTTACAATTACTGGACATAACATCGATTCTATGATAAATATATTAATTTATTACAGATCTATGACAATTTTATCAACATCGGAAAGTATGACCGTTGTTTATTCACACCGGAATACAGATTTAAAGTTTATTCTTTTTCCAATTTTCTACACATAAAATGTGATTATATTAATAATTGTGTCATTACAGATCATTTGTTTCATGAAGAGATTCGGAGGAAGACCTTTCGGTATATCGATGTGGGGATTTTTCTACATTAAGAGAAATTTCCTGCTAAGGGTAAATGTCAGTTTTTATTTTTGTCTTCAAATTTAATGAGTAATGTATTAAAGGAAATACAATGTAGAAATGTCACATCGCGTTATATTATAATTACATTGCATTTTTTATTATTAAAATTAATACCTGGCATTCAGAAATAACCTAGAAGTTTGAAATATAATCTATATACTTGGAAATTGTTATTTACGTTGATTTTATACATTCACATACAATACCATCTATTACGATTATGTAATTGTTTCTTAAGACAATACTATACATATGTTCTGTATGTTTGAATAATTTAGATTTAAATAAAATTCTCATACAGAAATATTTATTACACTTTACATTACTTTCAGATGATAAGTGGATTGTACTCTGTTTTCTCTTCCATCATTCAAATAACCGGAGTTCTTGATAAGAAGAGATGCCACACGAAAACTTATGAACATTTCACGTTTAAAAACGAAACACTTTCTTAAATATGTTTTACAAAGAAATGTTCATTAACAAGACTTATTACAATTATTATGTTTATGAAGCCTCGAAACGTTGCAATATTACTGATAAGGAGAATTTCTATATATGTATAATGTTCTGTTAAACTCGTTGGTAGTCTTTACGTTTTCTTCTATCTAAAAATTTCGTTCTTCTTCGGTGGTGTTAATATGGAGATTTTAGCTCAATGTAGGCTCTTTCTCCGAATAGACATGTGTGTGTATGATCGCTATGCGACCGATTTGCCGGCTGTATCGAACAGCCGATACGTACGCGCGGGAAATTAATGCCTTCCGGGAGGACTTTTATGCGGAACTGGCCTCCTATTCAGTCGTTATGGGCAAGGAGAAAACCCGGAAAACTCCAAGCAGCCAGCCTGTCCGATCGCGGCGCGAACCCACGACCAAACTTTCCAGTGTTTAGGGTCTGGTCACCGCTATGAGCGGCAACGGAGACCACTCGCCCACTGGTGGGGGCTAAAAATTTCGTTACGTTCATCTGTACATAATAAATTAATACAGTCGAACCTGCAATAATAATCACCTCCAAATACTGACCATTCTAGGTTTTATATTCGTGGTTATTATTTAGAGATTTGTCTGTATATTAATAATAATTGTAAATAATAATTATTGTTATACGAAGAATTTAACTGCTTATAAAATTTCATATTCTCATTTCCATAACTTCTTAACATTAATTTTTTCTGTAGTAAATATTTAAATATTATATTTTATATTAATATTCGGGTTATTCGCGAATAGTTACCAGTTAAATGCTTTACCAAATATTACGAATTCATAAAATAAAAATAATTTGTTACATCACTTATGCAAATACCGTAGCCACAGTTGTACTTAAGGTGAGGAAACATGTTTGCTGTATTCCTTCCTTTGCTAGTGAGAAGTGAAAGTCTTGACGCTACATGTTCAATGTTAATCGACGTTTGTTGTAATTGTTAAAGTTGCTCCAATAGCCGAGTAAAGAAACGAAAGATTCGATCCATTCTTGGTTGTTTTCTATTACTTCTTCTGTAAAGAATTCGAGAAGGTAAAGTGATAGTCTGTTTTTAGTGTTGCAAGTGCTGATTTCTCTCTTTGCAGTTTTATTTATTATTGCTAAAACTGAACACAGTACGTTAAAGTTGACGTTATTGAAACCTTCAATAGTAACCCCCAATTAAAATTCGTCTTTTTGACGCTATCACCTCGATAAAGTTCATTAGTTGAAACTTAAACACACTCTGCAATGGCTGAAGCACCAAAACATTCAGGTATGTAAAAAATATATTTTTGCAATGAAAATTAAGGAATGTTGATACGTCTCTTTGTATTACAGAGAAAAAGGACAGTAAAGAATGGTTTAGTAATACGTCGATAAAAACAGAAAAAGCAGACTGTGAGGCGCCCGTCAATTCTCCACCCGAAAGTATTCCTAAAGTTCCACAGACAATAAAGAAGGAAGAGAAGACATATGATGATGTATCGGAGTGCCTTGATTCACAATGGATAAAACAGCAACCTGACGAATCGTTCGAATTTAAAAACAATCATCTTCACAGTCTGGACGAATTTTCGTGCGACAAATGTGCGATTAAATATGTCCACAAGGATACGAAACAATTTCATAAGTGTTACAGGGAAGAATGGATGACTATATACGTTTGTAAACAGTGCAGGATGGAGTTTACTACTAGAATCAACGCCAGCATACATGAAAAGTTTCACAGAAACAAAGAACAGGCATAAATTTACTGTTTTTGTTGTTATTGATGTAATCTTTTTGTTTCGGACTGCACAGCATGGTAAACTGTCTACATACTTTTATACAGTATTCAATTTGTATAGACACGTCCATGTTTTATTTCACTTTTTATTCAATATTTTATTTTACTGGAATGTTGAGAGTAAGAAAATTGTAATCTTTTTCTTTAGTGAACTTTTAATAAAATTTTCTTACATTGTGATACTTAGTCTTTTCTGCACTATTATTTTGTTACTGCATGGCGTGCTTCGAGGAAACATATTTACTAAGAGTATATATTTTCATCTGTTACACGTTAAGAAAAACTATATAGTACGAGTAAATACATTTTCAGATTACACAGTAATGTGGGTAAGTTAGGGGTTTGGTAATGAGTTAGGGTTTCCCCCATACGTTAGGAGAAAATCAGCAGAATGGAGGCTCGTCAATGATAAGTATGGCACTTTTAGCCTTAAATACATCACTAATTCTTTGAGGAATTCTGTCAATTTTCGGAAAAAGTAACTTTCTAAAGTGCCCGAGTGCTCGTTCCCGTTCCTCTTTCATGGGTATTGTTGACTGGTTCAAAAACATGTATATCACACATTTTAATTAATCCCATAGATTTTCATATTTAGGTTTAAATCTGGAGGCTGGGGGCAATATAACAGTTCAATGTACTACTGATGAAGCTTAGTTTTAGCCATTTGTTCAAGGAAACATTTTTGGCTTTAATTCTATTCTGCCATCAATTCGAACAAAATTTCCAGGTCTATATAATCCCATAACAATAGTAAACCCGCACCATGTTTTATATCTGATATCACACGAAACTGTGATATTTTTTCAACATTATTTGTATCCAACACTTCCTAAACTGTTTTCTATGAATGAAAATATGGCCATCTTGGAAATGACACTTCAAAATTTTCCCATTTTTGGACTCGGACGTTGAAAGTTTCAGAAATGCAAAAAAGTAGAGGTCTTTTACTGTATGTATCAGTGTGTGTGTGTGTGTGTTAGAGGATGCAATTTTGTTCACCAAATTTGAAGCCTGGTAACTCCTGTGCCTTGTCAAAAATTTTGCAGGGAGGTTTTTGTATCATAAGAGGCATTGATTCAATTAAATTTTGGCGGTTAAAGGTCAAGGGAGTGGGAAAATAGTGGATGATTTGTCGTCTCTAGTGTAGTCTGACTTAATATTTTACTCCTAGTTAGTATTTACAACTCATCCCTACCTTCAGAATTAAGCTTTTTGCTATTTTATAATAATAGTAATAATCTAGAAAGCTTTTAAAATAAGCCCTCGTAACAGATGGCACCCCACACAATTTATCATTTTGCCAGGAAAGTAATGCAACTCATTGCTTGATATTTCTACCTTTGAAAATCATATTGTTAAACAGACAAGAAAATGTTTGAATGCCTGATTGTTGAACATCCTAACATTCTGTGCTAACCAGGAGAGATTATTTAAAATTACATGCTGGGACCATTGTAGGAATATTAATGAGCATTAAAATTTGCATATTTCAATACATTAAAAGGTAAAAATCCAAACTTACGTGAACATTTGAATCACTATATATCCTATTTCCATTTTGTCCTGTTCGCAATGCCAGTCTGTCAACAAAGACAGAAGACATTAAATGATAGACCTATGAAAAATTCTCAAGGTCTGCAATTCTTCAGAATACCTCAGATCAGCAGGCTGGCACCACAGATTCAACTGAGTCCTTATTGTATGTGAATCTATAATGGGTTCTCTGCTGGTGACAGGTTATTCTTAAAGACAATAAGGAAGCTTCCATATTTGATTCTCATTTAAGATAAAATTACACAATAAGTTTCAATAAGTGTATATGACACACGTTCCATGTTTCAATTGTTATGTATGTATGTATTATGTAAAAATGTACTTTTGCTCCAAGTGCTAAATGATTTAAAAGATAATTTCGTTACATTTTCCACTGTCAAGTGATACATTTTCAAGTATAGCATAATCTAACTGCTTGTGTATATTTCAATAAACATCCACAGAAATAGTTTTCAGAACCAGGTGGCCGAGATGATTAAGGCATTTCCTACCACCCCAAGAGACGAAGGATCAAATCCAAGTGAACAATCCCAAGAATTTTTCGTGAGTGGTCTAATGGGCTATATCTTGTCACCTGCTCGACCCATTAGAGGCCCGGAACAGATACAAAAAAAAGACCCTCTTAGTGCCCACACATAATTCTTTATTGGTCCTAAGCTTAATGTATAACTTAAGATGTTATGGATATTTGAATTCAAATGTCTACTTATTTCCCCTTACAATGTAACTGCTGGTTATTGAAAACAACAATATCCCTTGATTGCTGGGAGGAAACTTTTGTGTTACATATTTTATTCATTTACTCTCAAGCATGCACTCATTAATTTAGACAAACAATGAACAATAAATAGTAGTAATGTGAAATTACAATGATCAAAGTTTATAAAAAGTGTTTAGGACCAGTCCAGACCACACCTGACATGATCTTGAGTAATGTTCCGAAATGAACAATGCACGAAGAACGTTAGAAAACATAGTTTGGTGTTATTGAGACAAAAACCAGATGTATTCATAATTGAAATCTCGTTTAACATCTTCCATAAAGTGCTAAAAACTAGCTTCATAGAACAATAATATAAAATAAATATCATCATTTTATTTATTATGCAAGATACAATGAACATTTTTAACAATGATGCAATTATTTGTAACGAAAATGACTAGTTACAATATATTATATATACAATTTATACAAAAGCATAGCAACAATGATACAAATAAACTTTTTCTAGTATTATTTCTCATGTTCACAATATATATAAATGTAAAATGAGGCAAGTTCCTCGATTTTTCAATTTTGACTTGCGAGTTAAAACGTAAATATGGAAAAGTTTGCTCTTTTCTATCAAGAATTGGCTTATAAATATGACTTGCTAAAGGACTGTTGATATATTGTTACAATTTACAAATAAACAGATGCTTTAGTCAGGAAAATATTTTACCACACAATTTTGCTTTGTCTTCTTGGTTCTTCTTCTTTTCAGCTTGATCCAGAAGCTTTAGTTCATTTTTAATGACGTTACTCAAGCTGGGATCCAGTTCTGCCACCCGCCGGAAGTCGGCACGAGCCTCTTCTGGGTTCCATGCACCTACGTGAGCCTTGGCCCTCCTGAATAGCGCTTTAACATTATCTGTTGCAAATGAAATCAAATTTTATTAAGTAAATGTTTAAAATATACACAATTAGTATGTTTAAAAACTTTAATAATGCCACTTTCTTCCTTATATTAGACTAAATTTAATTTTTCTTTGTACTTTTCGAAACTTAAAGTTGGAGTGTGCCTTAAATTTAGAATGTTCAGCACCACTTTACCCTCTCAAAATCATTATTTTTAGGTAAAATATGCAAATACAGTCGACCCCCCTATAACGTGCATTCCTATAACAAAAATTCCTATAACGTAGCGAAAAAATTGTAACAACATACGTATAAAGGAGCTGCTAAAACGTCGTCGCCGACTCGTTTCGCAACAAGATTGATAGAATCTGTACCAATAATGGATGAGCAATCGAACTACTTTCCTCAGCCCTGCGCCACGCTATGGAACGGCTAAATTGAGTTTGCTATCGTCTGTACAGTATTATATATAAATTAGGTACTGTACATATAATCATATATTAATTTTATATAAATTAGGTACTGTATATATAATTATATATTAACTTAATTTATTGTAACTTTATTATAATTATATATATGCTTTCTGCCGCCTGGCAACACGCTACGGAGATTTTAGGCTAGTAAGTTGAGTTTATTATCGTCTGTACAGTATGTAAATTAGGTACCGTAAGTCTAATACAGCACTAATTTTATACATTTCTTGTGAAAGAAACACTTCTTATTCAACGGCCATAAAAATTATTTATATTAATGATGTCTCCAAAGGTCAAGTTATTTTTCTGCGAAAAATTATTTATCAGAAATCGCGGCCGCCGTTTCGTGTGCTGTTCCGCGACGATGACAAGCTTTGAACAACGGGCGTAGTCGAATGGTGCACACTCGGTAAGTAATCCTATAATTTTTTGTTTATAGCATAGTTTATACAGATTATTCCCAAAAAATTATACGTGTTTTGGAAATGTTGAGTGGAATTAGTCTAGAATCGGTTAATTTTATAGAAGAAAACCTTTCAAACAGCCTTAGCCCATAAACTTCCCATCTATCGAGCTACGATTGGCTCATGTATTTAATCATTCCTACAACGTAAAATTCGATTAACGTGGAATGTATCTAAGTGTTATAGGGGGGGTCTACTGTATAGAGCCAAATGTAAACAACTTAAAGTTATAGAGGGTGTTCTATTTTAAACATTATCCCATCATTAATTTAAATAAATGGCTTAATAACTTTCTGGTTGCGGCATCTATGTAAAAGACCTTTGCTCCCATTTGCGCTTGCTGTAATGGGATTATTTGAACTCCAAAAGTGAAAAAGAATCCCTGTCATTGCATAGAATTCCGTGGAGTGATGATTGAGGTTTGATAGTAAGTGTGACCAATTTGCAAAGTAACAGGTCCTAAATATGGTATAGGCAGTTGTGCAAATATTAGCTTTTTGCTTTTGGTCATTGAAATGATGGGCAGTAGGTATGAAGAGAGAAGTGCAGACTAAATAGCTAATATATTTAAACTTGGAGAGTGACCAACAAGACCGCCTTCCTTACTATAGAAAACAATTTTATTACTATACAAACATTTTTGGCCTTTTTAAAAACCATTCTTTGGGTTTTTGAACAAAAAACCAAGCGTTTGAAATTATAATGTTCTATTGTTTAGAATAATGTTTTAAATTAGACCAAAATTATTTCTGTTATAATAAAATTGTTTGCTGGTAAAAGTAAGGAAGGTGGTCTCTGGTCGGTTACAAGAAATTTCCAGCTTTTGAGGAATCTTCACTTAAACAATATACTCACCATTGCATACAGTGTAGCTATTAAACACAGTTCATCCTGTATCAAAACTGGAGATGAATGTTGAGGTGTAGATATCGTGGAGTAGTTGGAGCAAACTGCTCCAAGCACACGAATCATGAAGATGCCAAGTTAGAAAGAGCAAAATAAAAAAACTTGTAACATTTGTAAAAAAATTTTGGGATTTAATAATTAATCAATTAATTATTAGATTTGAATCTGTTCGACAATTATGTACAGTTTTTAAGTGCTTTTCACCTGCGTATCTTGTTGCATCATTTCATAAAAATATTCCAGAAGGATCAGAATTGTTAGAATCGGCATATCCCTCCCACATTTCGCCTAGTTTTGGACCTCAACTGCTTTGATTTAAAATGTGTTTTTATACTCGGGTAAAAAATTACTTCTATATGTGACGTTGCTGAACTACAATAAGACCCCGCTTAACGCAGGGGATGAGTTCCTAGACGACAAAGCGCTAAACAAAACAAGTCATTTTAACATAGAGTAAATAGGGAAAGGGGAACACACAACCCAATAAAAAATTTTTTTACTTTAATTTTAAGTTAGTTATGTTAATTAGCATAGTAATATATGTTAAATGACACAGTCAAGCATCTTTCTTCACTATATCCAATATGATTAAAACTATCAATCAAACAAAACCAAATATTATCGGGCTAGAAACGGCTATAATACTAAAAATTTAATAGACAATTTGGCATTAGAGTTAGGTAAGCAGGAGTTGTGAGTTCGAGTCTGGCTTCAGGCCGATTCTTTTCTTCCAGTANGGAGGTCCCGGTAGCATAATTGGCAATGCATCTGCAATGTAAGCAGGAGTTGTGGGTTCAACTTCTACTCCGGGCTGATTCTTTTCTTCCAGTAGTTCTAAATTATTTAATTAAAATTATCAAGAGATGGTGCCTAACGCCTAACTCTAGTGGCAAATTGTCTATTAAATTATTAGTATTATGCCGTTTCTAGCCTGATAATATTCGGCTTTGGTTGATGGAGTCATGCTTTGGGTTGATTCTTTTCTTCCAGTAATTCTAAAATTATTAAATTTATCAAGAGATGGTGCCTAACGCCTAACTCTAATGCCAAATTGTCTATTAAATTATTAGTATTATGCCGTTTCTAGCCTGATAATATTCGGCTTTGGTTGATGGATAGTTAAATAACACACAAACATATGCACACAGAAATGTAAAGTTCATTTTTTGTGATGAAGGTCCTGGCTTTTCTGAAATTCTTGAATTTTTTACAATGAATCCATCTAGTGATGATCATTTGTCGCTTTCTTTATTTTTTGTTAAGCAAATGTTGTTAGCAGTAGATCGTATCCAAAATGCCTCATTTTGCTTTTGCACTCCTTTCAAAATCTGGATCATTCGCTACAATTTGATCAACGATTTCGATTATCTTACCAAACTTTTACTAAGGAAATCTGTAGAGAAATTCGTTGGGTTCTTCATTTTCAGAATCACTATTTTCCAGTTGCACATGAATTCCTTGTTTTGCCAGTTCTTGCAGGTCATCATTGGTAAGTCTCTCACCAGAAACCTGAAGTAACTCTTCACTATCCTGCTCGTCTACATCTCCTAGTCCTGCTGTATCAATTAGGTTGATAATTTGGTCAACCTAACAATACAGTGATAGACTCTTCTCATTGAGAATTCTTGGATACCTTCAGCCATAACTTCCACACTTCATTCATGCATTTATCAGTTAATTCTTGCCAAGTGAAGTCGATATTGCCTATGGCATCCATGATGTTATATTTTTTCCAAAATTGCACATAAAAAACATAAAGAAAGTACAGAGCTACGACGAATTGCCACCTTTTCTTGATTGGTTAGTGTTTGGGAATAATCAATGAAATGCCGCGATAATTTTAATCCTCGTTAATCAAGGCAGTGTTAAGCAAGGTCTTACTGTACTTTTAATTCACACTGCAGTCTCAAGTAGTTTCTTTGACATTATTGCAACATACCTCACATTTTTACCTTTACCAGTGACGACAGTGACAGCAGAATGAAGTTTTTCAAAACTAAAATTATTCAAAACTTATTTAAGAAGCAACATGTGACATTGTATTAGATCTGACAACTATATCAATTGAAAAAACAATAGCTTGTCAACTTGATCTGAAGAAAGGGGCTGTCCATAAATTATGTAAGGGTGATTTCGGCCATTCTAGACCTCCATCCACCTGTGTAAGAAACCGTAATATTTAGGCATAATTTTATAGAAAACTTTGCCAGATCGACTAGCTAGTGCACCTGTAAACAGAAACGTCATACAAAATAAAACAATAGAGAATAGAAATCATATTCCATTGCCATATTAATTAAATCTTGGATAAGGTCAATAAAATAAACTACATGCTGCTAAAATGTGCTAGGAGCACCTGGGGACTGAGTCATAAAGCTCATAAAACTCTATACAATGGGACAATACAACCAATACTACTTTATGCAGCCTCTAGCTAGGGTCATGTAACTAGTAAAAATTCAGTAGCAAGTAAATTACTCTCTTCAAAGACAGTTTGCCATCAGAATTTCAAAGTGCTGCAGAACTGTTTCTACTAATGCCTCTGATACTAGCAGAGCTCCTTCCTTTGCATTATGTATTGTAGAAAAGGTTCTAATCTATTACATCAGAACTACAAACATCAAGGCTCAACAACATTCTCTACTTTTATCTACGGCTGTTCGTATGCTACCATATTGCAATTACCCTACTATCTGTGATCGTCACCCTGTAAACAAGGTTAACCGCAGGGTACAGTACATTTGGTGTCATCTTGCTTCCTCCATGGATAATCATGCAGACATTCATATCTACACAGATGGGTCTACTTCGTGTTGGCTCAAGTATCTATCTTCTTCCAAACTGACATATTTTGCCCAAAATGTGTTAGAAGGTACAGACACTTCCCACATATCTCCATCTATCAAGCTGAAGAAGATGCTGACTACTAAGCTGTTCAATGGACCACTTCACTACCAAACAAAACTATCGAAATATTATTTTTAATTGTCTACTTGGACTTAATTTATTAATAGGACATAAGCTGGTGTTTAAAGATTGACACAGCAATGAGAGTTAGTTCAGGAAAGAACAAAATTTCTTTATTATATCACCTGTAGTAATAGTTTCTGTACACATATTATTTAGACATAACCATTAATAGAACTGACAACAAATTAGAATTCAGA